TTTATATTTTATCACATATTACATGTTATAATAATAACATAACACTTATGATTGAATATATAATAAACATCATGATGAAATTATACATATAAATAATAAACATAAAAAGAATAAAATATTTTCATTAATAAAATAATATTAATCATTTTATATCATTAGATTAGACACTTTTTATTGAATATTTCTAATTTTTACAATAAAAATACACTTTTTATTTCTTCTTTTCTTCTTTTATTACTCTTTTCTTTTATTACTCTTTATCTTCTTTTTATATTCTCTACTTTTCTACTTTTATTATTTTATATTTTTATATTCTTCTACTTTTTACTTTCTTTTTATTCTTTTATATCTTTCTCTTCTTTTTTTCTATTATTTGCTTTTTTCATTGCAGAACTTACATACCTTTACTTTTTATTTATTGTCATTATATTACAATTTAAATTGATTAATATTTGTTAATTATTATTAAAATAAAATAAAGAATATAATTAAATTTATATTGATTCTTCATTTTTATTCATCATTCTATTTCATTAATCTTATAATTTATTTTATATTTGAATGAAATAACAACTATTATATGAATTAATACAATAAAATTAAAACAATAAGAGTATAAAGAAAAGTATGAAATGACATGAAATAATATTTAAAATAAATAAGAAAGAAGAAGAAATAAACAAAAGAATAAAAATAAAGAATAAAATTTTTACAAAATAAATATAAAGAATGACATGTCATTTAATAAGAGATAAAATATCAATTCAACACATTGAAACAAATAAATAATATGAAATAAATTAAAAATGAATAATCATAACACATTAATAATTAAATAAATGATGATTGATTTTATTTCATTTCATTCTTTTGTATTTCATTTTTTATTTTATTATCAATTAATTTGTTTATTTTGTATTTCTTATCATTTAAATTATAAAATGAAATTTCTTTTTATTATTTAATAATTCAATTATCTTCTTTCTTTCTTCTTTAATATCTTCTTTGTATTTTTCTTTTTTCTTTCATTCTTCTTCATATTAACATTAATTAAAATACCAATTTGAAAATGATGTAAATGATTGGATAGTAATTTATGTTAATGATGAACACCAACTAAAACAATCATCTCCTATTTCAATAACACTTGTTGGTATATTAATTGTTGTTAATGATGAAAATTCTTTAAAACAATAATTTCCAAGTGAATCAACTTCTTTTTGTATTGTATTTCCATATTTTTCTCTATCTTCTTGTGTATATTCGATATTTTTACAAATATTTCCTTCTTCTTTCTCTTTTAAATATCTTGAATAACTCACTTTATACCATATTACATATTTAATTATTCTTCCATCTTCAAATATTTTATCTTCTTTATTATAAATATGAAATGTTTCAATATTAGGAAACAATTTTCTTGAATATTCATTCAATGGAATTGGATTAAAATGAAATTGTTCCATATTTCCTTCAAATCTTTTAATTCCAATTTCTAAATTAATAAAATCATTAATATCTTCAAAATACTTCGAGACAATCATTATTTCATTATATCCTAATTGCATTCTTTCTTTATTATTTTATTATTTATTAGTTCTTCTTTTATTTTTAGTTTGAACTTCTTTTATTTTTAAGATAACCGTCATTCAATTTTTCTTTTTTTTATTTTTTTAATATAAATTATTAATAACAAATAATTTATATTTCAATAAATTATTAT